GGCTGAGTTTGGAAACAGCTCTTTTTCTAATTCTAGCATTAGGCTGCTTGTTTCTGGCTGACTCCTTCAAGCTGTAGCATCTCCCACGGAAGCTTTATGAAGTGCCTTTGCTCTGAGAGCATGCTGGGCTGTCTCACCTACATGACCCTGCACAGCATCCCCCTGACTCCAGAAGGGTGTCTGCACCAGGCAGCAAAGCAGCGCCCATAGCAAACTGGGATTTGGATGCAGGTGTAGGGAAGAGGATCAGGATGGAGTCAGCGGTGATTTCAACAGGACTGAATTCAAGGCATGTGGCAAGAACTGCTGATTTCAATATAGCAATGCTGTGTAGATGTCTGGTTTGGGATGCAGCCAGTCTGCACCATCAATGGTTCCAGTTTGCCCAGTGCTACAAGTGGAATTACTCCACTTTGTGGGTGAAAACTGCCCTCATTAGCTCTTCTGCAATGCTTAGTGGTTCAAAGGAGCGTGAGATGGATTGGACTGTGGGAAGAAGGACCAAGCAGCGAGGAGGTGATGTCAGACAAGTGCTGGTATGTACTAGTGGTGTGACGAGTCGCAAGGTAGTACTGGGTGTGGGAAGGGTTGTGAGCTGTACAAAGGGGCCACATGGTGGGAACTGCGATGTGTGAAGGGCTGTAAGGTGGTGCTCAGGGGCTGGAGACAAGGCAGTGACTGCAGGCGGGTGAGACAGAGGCAAGCAGCACACAAAGGATGCACAGAGCATCACAGGGCTGTGGGGCGATGCATGATATCAGGACCAAGAGTCTGCCTGACACAAACAGCCCCAAAACACCCCTCCAAGACCACCAAGGTGGTGAGAGACCCTGAGCTGACCTGGGACTGCAGAGAAAGGGGAGAGTACAGCCTTGCAGAAATACAAGGCTTGGCACAATGAGGCAGATGCCTCTTTTTAAGACATGACTGTGAATAACACGCTGCTCTATCAGTGTCTGTGTCATGTGGGAGCTGAGATTGGTGGCATCATGCTGAAACTGGATTGAAAGGAGCTGGGATTTTCTGTGCTAGCTTCTCCTGCAACCTGGAGGCCTCCAGGACTGGTGCCTGTCTGGCTGTCACAGTGGCTATGATACGCTTACTTCTCTCTCTATCTCTTCCCAGCACTGCCAAAGGGAGGTACCTGGCTGCTCTTCTGGTGGTTGCTGATGCTGAGCTTCGTTGCAGGGTCAGAGAAGGGGGCAATTGGTACCATCAGTCCCACATGGCACCCTCTCAAGCGTGCCCTCACCCTGCCCAAACCTCCCAGGCTGAGGATGGAGCTGGGAGGGAGTGATGCAGAGCCCCACAGCAGCAGCCCTCGGTGGTCCCACCAGGGCCACCTGCAGAGCGCTAGTCCCAGACGGTGACTTCAGCATGAGAAGAGCGGCTCGTTCCCAGATAGCGCATCCTCGACAGGTTCATCCATCATCTCCCGAGCTCTGCCAGCTTATTAACAGATGTTGTCCTGTCCCCAGAGGATGGGGAGGGAGGGAAGCAAATGGACTGAAGTACAGATGGCTGGCAGAGCCCTCCCCGTGCTCGCAGCTTCAGGCTGCCTTGGGCAGGCAATGCACGGGGGAGTGAGCCTGTTGGGCTGGTAAAAACAGGCAGGATGTGCTGCACAGGGTGGGGGGGATCAGTGGTATTGACCCCAACAGGCTGGGGTGATAACTGAGGACCCACTCAGGTGACAGAGAGCTGGAGGTGTGCTCTGCCAAGCACAGGTTTGTGCTGGGTTTTGTAGGCTCTGCCTGTGACACTGGGACCGGCAGGGTGGATGTGCCAGTCTTGAGCTGGACTGCAGGTGGAGGTCGCTACTGTCCCGTGTGCACTGTGAAAGCACATCGTGAGATGAAACTGCGAGGGCAGACAGAGCCTTGGCTGGGTTTTACAGGAAGGTGGCACTGGGGACAGAAGGAAGATGCTGGTAGCAGGACTTCTGGTGGTCCGCAAAGCGGCAGGGCCCTTAGGCACAGATTTAGGGTATAAATCGCATGAAATAATTAAAAATGAGAAATCTCCACCTTGTGCAGGGCTCCTGGGAGGGCAGGCGGGACGAGCTGGGTGCAGTGCAGACGGCAGGACAACCCTTCCGTAGTGGCTTCAGGTTTTGGTGGTTTCAGTGCGTGCTGCAGCCGTAACTGTGGAGCACTGTGATTTTAGACCTGGGGTGTTTGATTGAATTTGTCTCACTGGCCACTTCTCTGCTGGTTTGCTTTTATCGGAGCTAAGCCAGGAGATCCTGGTTTTCCACATGGCACTGGCCTGGCATGAGAGAGCTCAATCCAGAGCAGGACATTCCTGTCACCCTGTAGGGATTTCATATCTTGTGCAGGTTCCAAGCTGGTGTCCTCTCCTGTGCTTATGAAGGGCTTAGCACGTGTGTCCTGCTCCCATCTAAAGCGAGCATTGAGGCACACATTGGTGCATGACCCCATCCAGAGCAGTGCCTGCCCCAGCCCCAGTTGCTCTCGAGGCCTCCCCATGTTCTCATGCTGTCCAGGCTCCCAACGGCTCTGCCCTGGAGCACGAATTCACCTGTAATTTGTCATTTAGGATCATTTTCCCCTTGAGTGAATCCAAAATAATTGTGAATCATTGCTACGGGTAATTAACAGGGTTTATTTTTACAGCATTGAATGCTAAGTGATTACAACTGCTTGGTACAGATCTGCTTTACAACTGCTTGGTACAAATCTGCTGTGCTTCATGTTCCCATCCTTCCCCCGTCTCTCCATACGTGATGTAGCACTGATTTCTCTGCCCTTAATTAACTATTTGGGAAGGGGGAATTGAATCAAGAGTCTCTGGTTGCTGGTTGCTGCATGGGTAGAGATGACAAGGGTTTGCAGGACCAAGGAGGATTCACACAGGTTGAAGGCAACGAATCCTGACATTTACACTGCCAAGCATGGGCAGTGGGGCTGTGCCATCACAGGCAAGGAGTCCCTGGCCCTGTCAGTGTGTGGCATCAGGAGAACCAGTCAGCACCAGAGCATGGCAAATGTCTTGGGCTGTCCTTGGTGCAGTGGCTGGGGACAGCAAAGCTCCTCTCCAGGTCTGCCTGCCCTGTGTCCTCTGCTCTTCTGATGGATGCTCCTGGGGAGATGAAACGTGTCAGGAAGGCCGGGGAGCAAAGCCAGCCCTGAGCTGCATCGATTTTCCCCCTAAGTCACATCTGCCTTCCCTTGCATCCCCAGTTTGGGCATTTCTGTTCCTTGCCGTTAAGCCCTTTAGGAAACGGAGGAGCAGGAATTTAGGAGCAAACTCTGCAATGGCTGGGCTTCGCTTTTCCAGCCTGCTGTACCAAGACATGACACCAACCTGTGACACCAACATCTCTGGCACATGCAGCGTGTGTACATCCTGCTGCTGCTCTTGCTCCCCTGTCTATAAGGTAGCATTCAGTGCCCAGTGCCACAGAAACTGATGACAGTAACGAGAGACCAGCAAGGCACCAGGGATGCATGTGGATGAAGCTCTGCCTTCAGCTGCTATAGCTCGAAGTAGCTCAGTTATAGAGTCTGCTGTATGACTGTGCAGCGTGTGATCTGTGAAATATGCTGATAGCACAGGGAGATCTGTGGCAGGGGAAGGAGTGTTGTTAATAAGAAAACAAATCAGCACCTAGAAGCAGAACAAACAGACAGCACGGAGGGGCCAAGACCACCAAGGATGCTGGATCACAAACAAAACCCTTCTACATGTTTGGAAGCAAAAATTGAGGCTGAATGCAGAGTTGGCGACGGGGGTTGAAGGTATTACCACCTCGGGAGGGAAAACTGAGATGAGTCAGAGCCAGGAATAGCGCTTGAGTCACTGGAACTGGTCCTAGAAATGCTTGATGAAAACAGGGACCCAGGCAGAGCCTGGTTTTTCTTTACTTGGAATGGAAATGTGCGGAAGAGGGCAGATCATTCCACGCCTAGGCAGGCACTTGACGCGCCGCATGTCACTATGGAACTAATCGATTTTCCTAACGAGAGACGAGCTGTTTGTTTGTGTGACAAATGATTCACCCGGGGGGCTGCTGCGAGAGCTGGGGTTGGGATGGAGCGGGCTGATGCCATCGCGGGTGTGGGATGAGCGTGTGCTCCTGCCTCGCAGTCCCAGCACCAGCATGAGGCAGAGCCACCGGAGACGGGAGGTGTTGTCAGAAGAAACTCAGCCTGGCTCGCTTGGCTTTGCTGTCCCTCCACAGACCTCAGTGTGCGCTGAGAGCTTGCTGCAAGGTGAAACAAAAGAGGGCGTTTTCCCTTTGTTTTGTGCAAGGAAGACATTTGTCCAGAGGAGATGCGGCTGCCCCATCCCTGGCAGTGTTCAAGGCCAGGTTGGACACAGGGGCTTGGAGCAAGCTGCTCTAGTGGAAGGTGTCCCTGCCCGTGGCAGGGGTTGGAGCTGGATGAGCTTTAAGGTCCCTTCAACCCAAACCAGGCTGGGAGTCTATGAAGGAAACTTATTGCTCTGTGTAGCAGCGCACCAGGGTCAGAGGACAAGACCCACCATGTCCCAGGAGTGGAGCTTTCACTTCATGAAACCCTTGCCATGGATGCTGCTGGGCACACCCAGAACAAGCAGTGGGGCAGCTCCTGTTAAGGAACACTGCACTGCACAGATTATGGCTCTTATAACAGCGAGGTGATTTCCAGTGCTCCCTGGTTTGTTCTTTGCAGCACTCCCTGTCCCGAGGCCAGGCAATGGCCCTGAGCTACATCAGGGAGGGTTCTGGGCAGCAGGAAGGAGGGAAGCACCTCCAGCTTTACAGGCAGGTCAACCAAAGCAAAGACACCCGGGTCTGCCTGTGAAACAGTGGGGAACCGGTACCAGGATGGCAGTAGCACAGCCTGGGAGAGAGACAAGAGCAGTCTTCACAGGGCTGGTTTCCCATGCACTGGATGGGGGTGAGAGCCCGGTCCAGGTTCGTGCTGCTGGGATGTGCTGAGCTGGGGGATGCTCCTCGTGCAGGCGCATCCCCCTGACCCTTCCCTCCTCCGCAGCCTGCCAGCTGGGGTTCTACAAGTCATCCCCCGGGGACCAGCTCTGTGCCAAGTGCCCCTTGCACAGCCACTCGGAGAGCCGGGCCGCCCGCGTGTGCCGCTGCGACAGCAGCTTCTACCGGGCCCTGCAGGACCCCCCCTCGGCTGCCTGCACACGTGAGTACCCCAACATGAACCACCCATGGGGAGGCGCAGACCCTGCAGATGATGCCCCCCTGCCCCTGTGCGTGCCGCACAAGGCACTGTGGCAGCCGCTCAGCACTGGGTCTCCCCTTGACACGTGAGCTGAGACCCCCTTTGCTACACTCCCTCAGTGCCCTGTGTCTCATCCTCATCCTGCTGCTCTCCAAACACCCCTGCTCCTTTCCCAAGGGTCTCCCCTGTGATGGAGTAGGGTGAGACCATGGCTCCGCCAGCAAGCTGGCCCTGCTCACACACCAGCCACTTGCTGGCTGCTCTCCTTTGCACAAATGGTGAGGGCGATCAGACCCAAAGGACAGCACAATTGTTGCTGTGCTCTCCTGGACACTGGCACTAAGGTGTGTTGTATGGTTTCAGCTCAAGTCTCTGCAATGGGCTGCTTTAAGGGGTTCAGTACTGTTAAAAAGGGACAAGAACATCCCAGGAGCCCTCCTCCTCTCTGTAGCTGGTCCAGGAGGGAAGAAGGGTGGATGGCTACTAGCTGATGCCAGGGTGAAAGACATGTCAGCGACATCTCACTTGTGTTTCCCTAGGGAATACCCGCCCAAGGTTGTTAAACTCCCCAGGAAATACCAGTTTACCCTTCCCTTTAGATGAGCAGGTCCTGCTCTCCACTGTTCAGCCCATCCACACCTTGGCTCTCCCCCCAAAAGGCTTCATGCATCCCCACTGCTTCCTGCTTCCCCCCAGACAAACATCAGCTCTTTCCTGCCTGTCATTTGGCATCATGATCCAGAGCATCTCACTTCCATGGCACTTTAACCTGAGACCTGTCTGTGGAGCATTCCCCACTCTGGGCAGCACTCCCCTGCAGCATCATTTGGTCCAAACGCCAGCACCTTTGCAACGTGCCCACGACAGCAGCATCACGCCCAAGGCGCATCCCTCCATTGGTCCCATGCTTTGCAGCCCCCACTCCGCCTGAACCTCCGCTTCTTCCCCAGGCCCCCCCTCTGCTCCCGTGAACCTGATCTCCAGCGTCAACGGCACCTCGGTGACACTGGAGTGGGGGCCCCCCCTGGACAAGGGGGGCCGCGCTGACATCGTGTACAACGTGGTCTGCAGGCGCTGCACGGGCCATGCCGGGCAGTGCGAGGCGTGCGGCAGCGGGATCCGCTTCGTGCCCCAGCAGATGAGCCTGGTGAAGGGCGCGCTGACCGTGACCAACCTCCTGGCCCACACCAACTACTCCTTTTGGGTGGAGGCCGTCAACGGCGTCTCTGACCTCAGCCTGGAGTCCAGGAGAGCTGCAGTTGCCAACATCACGACAAACCAGGCAGGTAGGAGGAGCCGAGGCTTCGCCTCCACCTTTGTGGGTGATGCTGATGATGTTGCTCTGATGCTGCTCCCACCGGTACCTGCCAAGGGCTGGTTCGGTGATGGGCAAGGGACACCCTAGAGATGAGCGTCCTATCCTCTCTGCTGCAGGAGGTGGATTCAGGGAGCCAGGATGGGCTGGAGACAAGCTGCTGCCCAAGGCAGCAGTGGTTCTCTGCTTCACAGGATCCCTTTTCATCCTCCTTTCCCTCCACTTCAGCCTGCGGCTGCTGGTAGAGGCTCCTTTTCTGCAGGAGACAGGGGGCACGGAGAACACTTGTTTGTTGACAGGAACATTAAGTGGAGCATGAATCTTTCAGGCTGTTCCTCCAGCCTTCTGTCCCTTCCCAAAGGGCCAAGCAGCAGTTCATGCTCTGCTCTTAGCTCACACCAGCGCCAGGCCTTGGCAGGTGACAGCGGCTGGGGAAAGTCTCTCTCATGCCTGTCTCATCTTTGCAAAGCCCTTGATTTGAATTGCTTTTTCCCCAGGAAATCATAGAATAGTTTGAGGTGGAAGGCACATTCCGAGGTCTTCAAAGAAGAGAGAGAGGCCTGTTGTAATAGAATGAGGGGTGTTGGTTTTAGACTGAAAAAGAGAGATTCAGGTTGGATGTGGGGAAGAAATTCTTTACAGTGAGGGTGGTAAAAAACGGGCACAGGATGCCCAGAGAGGTGATGATGCTCCATCCCTGCAGACATTTGAGGCCAGGGTGGATGTGGTTCTGGACAACCTGATCTAGATGTCCCTGTCATTGCAGGGGGGTTGGAACTAGATGAGCTTTGAAGGTCCCTTCCCATCCAAACCATTCTATGGTTCTGTGGTTCTATGATTTCAGCCTCTCTGCTGGGAAGTGGATGCTGAGCAGACACTGCAAAAGCAGCGGGGTTGGGAATTTGGTAGTGATTGAAGTTGAGGTTTGTGCCTGCTCCAGCTCCACACCACAGAGCATCCTGCCCACCTTGAGGGGGTGAGGGACCCAGCCATGCTGCATGGGGCGCCCTGCCCATGCTGGTGCTGAGCACCCTTGTCACCCAGCCCCTGAGCAGGACAGGAGCGGGTGCAGCAGTGATGCTCTGGGGCAGATTCCCATCATCCCACCCTGTCCCAGCTCCCTGGGGTCTTGTGTCCCAATGGTGATTTCTGCTCTTCACAGGAGGCAGCCCAAAGGGCTACAGCTGCTGCCTTTCAGTCCCTGAGTACCCCACTGCAGACCCTGTGGCCTCTTTTGGTCTTTTGGTGGTCTTGGCAGCCCTGGGGTGACGTTGGACTTGATGATCTTAAAGGTCTTTTCCAATCTGCTTGATTCTGCAATTTATCATTCTATGGCTTTAATTAAAACAGAAATATGGCTTAAACCAGGGGTCCTGCATGGGGCTCCTGCAGTTGTGTCTGGCCGCCCCCACCATGCCCAGCCAGTAGGCACCTAACACCCTGCCATCTGCATCCCCAGCCCCATCCCAGGTCATGGTGGTCCACCAGGAGAGCACAGGCCAGAACAGCGTCACGCTGCTGTGGCAAGAGCCAGACCAGCCCAACGGCATCATCCTGGAGTATGAGATCAAGTACTATGAGAAGGTAACGCAGAACTTGCTGCCACAAACCCGTTCCATCACGGTTCAGACAGGGGCTTGGTTTAAATCCTGATAGCGATTGCTGCTGTCAGCCAGCCTTGCGCAAAGGACTGTTTTGGAAGGCTTTGTGGTTGCTGTGTTGATGCAGTAAGGTTTTGGGGGGTTGTTTTTCACCAGGACAAGGAAATGCAGAGCTACTCGACTCTGAAATCCAAGGGTACCACTGCCACCATCTCTGGGCTCAAGCCTGCAACCCGCTACATCTTCCAGGTTCGGGCTCGCACATCCGCGGGCTGCGGGAGGTTCAGCCAGACCGTGGAGGTGGAGACGGGGAAGCCAGGTGAGCGACTGCGCTTGTGGGGTGTGGGAAGTGTGGGGCAGGGAGCTTGGGGAACGGCGATGACCTTCTCCATGGCCACTGTGCCTCTGCTGCATAGGGAGGAAGGCAGGAGGCACATCTGGGGTTGGAGCTTGCAGGGCTCGCTTGAGGTTGCCCTGCTGAGATGTGCTTATATATAAGAAAGAAGGACATAGCAATTAAGGCAAGGAAGACATGGTGAGGTCCTGAGGCTCCAGACCCCACTCTGTGCTGGTTTGCTGTATCACCATGGCTTCCCCACGTCTATGCTTGGTTTTCCCATGTGTAAATGGTCCCTGTACACTGAGACAGCCCCAAAGCTGGGGTTGCATGGATGATGAAGACTAGAACCCCGTTGGGTTAAGTAGGTTCCTGAGCCCAGTAGAGTCTTCACACTCTAGCTCACCTCCTTCCCACCCTGCTTCTTCCAGTTTCTCTCCGGTACGACACGATGACAATTGTCTGGATCTGCCTCACGCTCATCACTGGCCTTGTCGCATTGCTGGTGGTCTTAATCTGCAAGAAGAGGTAAGTGTTTTCTGGAGGTCAGTGTGGCTTGTCACCAAGCAGGGCTGGAGCTGTGGGGGATCTTGAGCACAGCTTTTCTCTTCTCAACTTGTCCAGAGCATCCATAGCTCAGGAGTTAATAAGCAACCAAGAGACTTCATTTAGGGGTCACCCTGCCTCCACGTTCCCTGAGGCAGAGCCAGTCTCCAGACCTTCCCCTCATTGGCAATCCTGGGATAAAGATCTTTTCCAACCTGGTTGATTCTATGATTCCATGTCAGCAGACTGAGTAGCAGTAGTGACAGCAATAACCACAGCAATAGCAGAACCAGTACCACTGCCAGTACGAGGGCTGACTGGATGGGCTTAGGGTAGATCCTCCCAGGCTGCCTACAATCCTGGCCCACACTGCCTTCCACCCTGCCTTTGGGCTGCTGGTGGGAGCAAGGGACAAGAGCACCTCTTCTGACCTGTGTGTCCCCATGGCAGGCACTGCGGGTACAGCAAGGCTTTCCAGGACTCCGATGAGGAGAAGATGCATTATCAGAATGGGCAAGGTAGGACCCTCCCCGCTGCTGCCTCTGGGGCGTGAAGGACCCTGTGGATGGGCAGTGGTCTGGACCATACCCCCTGGAACTGCTGTGGTTCCCAGGGGGAAGGGTTTTGACCACTGACTGCTTCTGGGGATGTGTCTAAGAGAGCTAAACAGGGGCTCTGATCCCAGGGACACCCTGGTGATGGGGTTTGAGGGGTTGCACAGCGTGAGATGGGACTGTGGTGGCTCATCCCAAATAGCAGCAGGCCAGAAGAGTGGTGGCTTGATGGAGGGGGACAATCACATTGAGGAGACCTGGGCAGCTGGGTTCTGCACTGCTCTGAGGACACTGCTGTGCCAAAGAGTGCCTTAAGTTCCCTTGTGGCTGCAACCTCTGTGGCTCCTCAGCATGTCAACCCAAGAGTCCTGCCCTTGCACATCCCCTACCCAGCTTCTGGGTGCCCCTACTTCTTAGCAGAGCTGCCTGAAAGAGCTTATCTCCTTTCTCCCCTTTGAAACCTGGCAGTGAAGTTCCCCGAGTCCAAGTTCTATGTGGACCCTCACACGTATGAGGACCCCTGCCAAGCTGTGCATGAGCTCACCCGTGAAATTGAGGCCTCCCGGATCAAGATCGAGAAGGTCATTGGGTCTGGTGAGTCCCTGGGCCAGGCTGCCTCTTAGCATCACATCTGATGAGGGAAATTCAGCCTGAGGTTGCGCTGGGACCGCAGCAGCTGCACAGCACCAGCACGGTGCTCACCCAGGGCTTCATCTGCTCCATATCCTGTTAGAGACCAAAATCAGGGGGAGAGTGGGAGCTTTTCTGATGCATGAAATAAGCTCCTTGGAGGCAGCCCAGTGCAGGAGGCTGCTGGTGTGGCACCGACAGCTCAGGCTGACACAGCAGATGGCTCAGCCTGTCTTGTGTGGGTGCCCCAACGTGGCCACCCTGCTTTGAAACCTCGGAGCAAGCATCTACAGTGACAAAATGCAAATGAAATCGTAGCAAAATGGCACGTTTTCAACACAGAAAGGGTTTTTTTTTTTTGCAGGGAAGCACAGGGCAGCGATGGCAATGGAGCTTCAGCAGCAGCTTACCCCAAAACAGCATTGGGAAGCCTGGCTGAAAGACATCCTGCTGCTCTAAGAGATATCCAAATTTGTTCATTAAAAGCAGTAAAGCAAGTGCCACTGTAATCACTATTACTGGCCCATCACTTTCAGCGTAAGGCATCAGAGGGAGGTGGTACCTGAGATTCCTGCCTGGTTGCCAGAGGTGGCACCGGTTGCTGGAGATGGGAAATCCTCCCTGTGCTCAGAGGCAGCGATGCACTAAGAGCCCGGGAGTCCCGAGGGGATTGATCACAGCAGACGGGGTGGTCCATGGTGCTGCTGGGTCACTGCAACACGCTCAGGAGCTTCCCATGTCCTTCCCTTGCCTTGCAGGGGAGTCTGGAGAGGTGTGCTATGGCCGCCTGAAGCTGCCAGGGAAGAGGGAGATTCCTGTGGCCATCAAGGCGCTGAAAGCCGGCTACACGGAGAAGCAGAGACGGGACTTCCTGAGCGAGGCCAGCATCATGGCACAGTTTGACCACCCCAACATCATCCACCTGGAGGGGGTGGTGACCAGGAGTATGTTGCTGGTGGGGACGGGATGCTGGTGGGCAGAACTGGGATGTATCTCCCTCTGGGCACCCTGGGAGATGGGGGTCAGGGCTCACTTTGGGTGTATTCATTCCTCTGGCTGCCCCAGATGCCCACTTCTCAGATATCCATTTACTGGGGTCCCTTCCATCGCACCCCCTTGCCTTCTCTTGCAGGACAGACTTCCTATGTGGCAGTTCTTCACCTTGCTCTGCAGCGGCCCCAGGTCAGGGTTATTGGTTTAGGAGATGTTCTGCCCATTAGTGTTTACTTTAAAGGCTGCCTCTGTTGCATCATAATTTGAAGTCTTCCTTCAAAAAGCACATTCTGATGCAAAGCGTTATGCTAATGGCATGTAGATTTCAGCAGGATAAGGAAGCTGACCTAGACACATCAATAGCACCGGGAGGGAGGGGTAAGTGTCTGGGTTACAGCCACATCCCCAGTGCTGTGCCCGTTCTGTGTGGTGCAGGGGTGAGACCGCTCTGCGGGATGCAGGAGGATGGATTCACGTCTCTTCCAGTAAAAGCCTGGCACTGGGCTTCCCAGAGGAAGGTGACTTCTCTGCTAACTTGACCTCCCTTGTCTTCTGCAGGCAAATTGGTAATGATTGTTACAGAGTACATGGAGAATGGCTCGCTAGACACCTTCCTCAGGGTAAGGAGCTCTTCTGTATTTTCATTCATTGCACATCCCCCTGGGCTGAGTGACTGGAGGAAGCTGGCTCCTGCTCCTCAGCCTCATGGCCACTGCAACCCCTGCAAGAGAGGGGTGTGCTCTGGGCTCTCAGCTCTACAACAGACATCAGCACCAGGGCATTGTGCCCAGCTCCATGGGGAAAGGCAGGGACACCAGCCTGAGCTGCATGTCAGAGGTGCTGGGAGGGCAGGAAGCAGGCCCTGGGACATGACAGAGGCACTGGGGCTAGAAGAGGTACTAAGTCAAATACAAGAGGTCCTAGGGGGTTAGTGTAATGAAAGCAGCATCAATAGGATGCTAGCAGAACCCACGGATTAACTCTGGGATATTTCCTTTCCAGAAACACGATGGGCAGTTCACCATCATCCAGCTGGTGGGCATGCTGCGTGGCATCGGAGCGGGCATGAGGTACCTGTCTGACCTGGGCTACGTGCACCGGGACCTGGCTGCCCGCAACATCCTGGTGAACAGCAACCTGGTCTGCAAAGTGTCTGACTTTGGGCTCTCTCGCATCCTGGAGGATGACCCCGATGCTGCCTACACCACCACGGTGCGTGGCTCCTAGAGCTGTAATGTCTTACTGAGCCTTACCAGTGGTCATCGCCCAGGCCACTGACAGATGGAGAAGTCGGATGCTCTCAAGTGAAGATAGGCAGGGTAGGACTGGAGGCAGTCACCTCACTGCCGGTATCTGGACCAAGAACATGAACCCAAAGAGCTTTTGAGTATTTTCCTTCATACAGGGACATCCCAGAACTGAGGTGTGCAGTGAACAGAGCAGGGAGATGATCAAACCTCTCCAAAGGAACAGCTCCTGTGGGTGCACATGGCTCATTGCACAGGGACAGTCCCATGTCCCTGCTGGAGTCTTTCCATCCACTGTAGCTCCATCCACTTCCTCAGTTGCTCCAGAGCCATGGGTCGGTGGGTGTTACGGTAGACTCAGCAGCAGCGTGGCCACACAATAGTTTTTCCATGTGACTCTGCCTTATTCAGGGGTGTGGAAAGGGTGGGAATTGGCTTTGCAGCCCAGGTAATTTTGGTTTGATGGAGACACTTCTGTCTGTGAAGCCATTTTAAGACTTTTCTGGCCAACCTGACAGCTCTGGAGTTTGATGTGCTGCTCCACTGGAGGTCACCAGAGGTGAAATAAAGTATATTGAGGCAATGTGCTCTTTTAGTTCTTCTCTGGCCATGAAAAGAGGAATTAGTGTGCTCCCCAGGCACGCCTCTGGCTGGGAAAATGTGGATAGACAGCTCCTGATGGAGGCCAGGTTGGAGCTGCAGCTGAGGAGTCTGAGCATCCTTTTTCAGAAGGACGAAGACTAAAGAAGCAGAAAGAGCTTCAAGTTGCTTTGGGTTAGCTGATGGCAATGCCCAAAGCAGTTGCAGCTCTGAGGGATGAGTGCACAGTGGCCTATCCCGGAAACCATGGCCTTCATGCTTTTCACTTGGCTTCAGCCAAGAGAAGAATTGAGCCGGAATGTGTCCTCTGTGTGTCTTTGTATTCAGCTGCTCCCTTTGGTATCTCAGAAGCAGATACTTTTTGTGACATTGCAGATCCTTTAATCCTGGGGAAAGCTCCTGCTGCTTAGTTCAAGTACAGCATCCTCTGCATCTTGGCGTTGGGACTCCCAGAGGAAGGGTCAGAAGAGGCACAAGATCAGCTAGGGCTCCCCGGTGTCAGAGCAGCCCCCGTGCTCTGTGGCATGCAGACACACACAGCCTGGCCTCCCCCCCATTGAGCCGGTCTTTGACCTTTTCCTCCACTGTTCCTCCCATTTTCAGGGGGGGAAGATCCCCATTCGCTGGACGGCTCCGGAGGCCATCGCATTCCGCAAGTTCTCCTCGGCCAGCGACGTGTGGAGCTACGGCATCGTCATGTGGGAGGTGCTGGCCTACGGCGAGCGCCCGTACTGGAACATGACCAACCGGGATGTGAGTGTATGGGGGGCATGGGGCAGCACGGTGCAGCCCTTGCGTCTCCCCCGGCTCCCTCCCACGGAGGGATGGGGAGAAGGGACCCAAAGAGCAGCCCTTGCCTCTCCCCACCTCCCCATGGGGCTGCGCACACTGTGCTTATCCCCTCAGTGGGGACATCAGTGTGATGCCCGTCACTGCACTGCACTGATTTCCCTTTGCAGCACCACGGCTCCTAGCTGTGCCTGGTTGTGTGCACTGTGGGTCTCCCCATCCCCATCTGTTGCTCTGTACAAGACTTTGTGCTGCTTGGAGTGCTTCAGCACATGTGCCACCTTTCCCATTCCCTGGAAGGGGTCAGAGCTTCCCTAGGAGCACGGCAGCCCCACTGTATTAGCCTGATTGTTCCATTCTGCACCCAGGGCTGGGGCTCCATCATTTCTACTGCCCATGGGAGGCTGCTGAGAGCACCAGGCTTGCATCACCTGGCTTTGGGCTTGTCAGAATTATGTGGAGCTGCTCTTACCTCGAGTGGCATAAAAACTATAGGCAAACGTAGGTTGTGTTCCTGATTATAACCTGGGAGAAACAGCTCCAAAAGGAGGTGATAAAATGAGTATTTTGACTACAGAACCACAGAACTTCCTTTTTACTTTCACCTACAGGGACTATAAACCCATTTGCCTTCTCCCTGCTGTGGGAGTCCTGAGAATACCCTCTCCCAAGTGGTTTTAGTGTTTTAGAAAGTGGCCTTGGTGACAACAAGGAATGGATGCAGTGCTTGCATCCCTTCAAAGTGGCCTTGGTGACAACAAGGAATGGATGCAGTGCTTGCATCCCTTCAAAGTGGCCTTGGTGACAACAAGGAATGGATGCAGTGCTTGCATCCCTTCAAAGCGGCCTTGGTGACAACAAGGAATGGATGCAGTGCTTGCATCCCTTCAAAGCGGCCTTGGTGACAACAAGGAATGGATGCAGTGCTTGCATCCGTTCAAAGTGGCCTTGGTGACAACAAGGAATGGATGCAGTGCTTGCATCCGTTCAAAGTGGCCTTGGTGACAACAAGGAATGGATGCAGTGCTTGCATCCGTTCAAAGTGGCCTTGGTGACAACAAGGAATGGATGCAGCGCTTGCACCCTTCAAGCAGGGTTTCCTCTGAGCGGCAGTAAGCCCAGAATGACTGAATGTGAGTGAGGGTCTCATGGCTTGTCTGCTGGAGGGAAGCTGCAATATTTTAGGCCTATTGGACCCCATAATAAATCCGCTCTCATAGCAGTGATTTCTGTATGTGTTTGGTATCCAGCCTGCTCCCAGCTCTCCAGAGGCTTCTCGTGGCCTGCTGGAAATCCTTTTGTTTAGCATGAATCTTGTGTACACCTCACCCCTGCTTCCCCATCTGATGGTACCAGCAGCTCACACACCAGGGATCACCCTTGTGTGCCATTATCCAGGCTGCTGGGACTCCCTTAGGGTCCAGCTCCTAACTCCTGCCTTCCTCCCAGGTCATTAACTCCGTGGAGGAAGGCTACCGCCTGCCTGCCCCCATGGGCTGCCCCACGACCCTGCACCAGCTTATGCTGGATTGCTGGCAGAAGGACTGCAGCGAGAGGCCACGCTTCTCCCAGATCGTTGGCATCCTGGACAAGCTGATCCGCAACCCGGACAACTTGAAGTGCACGGCCACCGTGAACCGGTAAGGGCTGCGTGATGGGCTGGTGCTGGGCAGAGCATGTGGGTTGCAGCGAATGAGGGGTGTTTCTGTCCAGCTCTAGCAGCAGTGTGTTCCCTTGTGACCACGGTCATGCACAGGGCTCATGGGCACGGATTAGGGTGGGCGCATCACTGCCTTGCTCCGTGGTCTGGGGTAGTGGTGCCCGTAGAGCAGTGATTCCTGCCCTCAGCTCACCTCAGGCTCTTCAAGCTGGACCTCACAGCCTGGCCAGCGAGGACCAGCACCTCCCGGTCTAACCCGTTTTTCTCCTGCTCCCAGGTTCACCCAAACACCCTTTGACAGGGGCCTCCTGGACCTGGCCACCTGCCTGACTGTGGAGGACTGGCTGGACTCCATCCGACTGGGGCACTACCGGGACAACTTTGCCATGGCAGGGTACTCCTCCCTGGGCATGGTGATGCGCATGAACATCGAGTGAGTACCAGAGAACAAACAGCACTGGTTGGGTTGCCCTGCACCTTCCCACTGCCCTCTAACAGTGACCATCCTGCCTTGGTTTGCTCCATCTAGTCGGTCATTGATGCCAGAGATACAACCCTAAGGAAAAGGTGTTGGGATCTGGGATGATGTCCAAGGCAGTGCTGACCTTTTGGAGAAGGTCTGGGAGTTGTTCTTGAAAGGGTGTGAACACCAGGTCACCTCTGTGATTTCTCTCCAATGTCATCATAGATTCATTGGTAATTTGGGTTGTAAAGTGCCTCATGAGGTCGTACAATCCAGATTATATGATAGATACCAGATTGCTGTCTCCTTGCTCTTCTCACCTTTGTTTCCCTGGCAAAAGGTTTGTCTGGACCAGAGCATGGCTGTGCCATACTGCACAGCTTCTCTGGGATCACTGCAAACAAACAGAGCTGGGGGCACCTCAGAGCTTCTTCAGACCCCAGAGCACTGGACTGGCTCCTTGCTCAGCACAGCTGGGCAGGGAGGAACCATATAGCACCTTGGTGTGAGTGCAGGGTCACAGCCAAGTGACCAAGGCTGGGTTTAGTGAGGAGAGCTGGGGAAGATGTGTCTGACCCATCCTCCTCTTGCTGTAAGGAGCTGCCACCTGTACAGGGGTCTCCAAGTTTGCTTGTGCTCCAAGCAGTACTGGAAAAGGTAGTGACTATACTTGCTCCTATCCTGGGCTTACATTCCCTATCCCTTGGTATTAGCATTAGTGCCAGGGCTGACAACAGCCTCTCCTGCCTCTGAGAAGACTTTTTCACTCCCAAAAGGCATGGAGCTGCCAGACAGTTCCTGTGACTCGGGAAGGATGTGACAGTGCACACCTCGGTCGAGGTGCAGCAGGTTGGGAAGGAGCCAGTGAAAGGGAAGATGGAGAGGCACAGACAGAGGGTTGTCATGCATTGATTGGAGGCTGTACTTGGGGCCTTTGCTGTGGGATTGAGCTGATACTGATCCTTGTTTCTCATGCACATCAGGGAAGCTCTACAGTGGGGAAGGCTCATCATCCATCTGTCTTTCTGACTGGGTTATCTGAGGGCATCGCACTAAAACTGAATCCAATTTCAGACCATTGATCTTGTCACCTGCTAGCTTGTCAGGAGTGATCCCTCTCCTGCTCCCCCTGGAGCTGTCACAGCACTCCTGTCAGGAGGATACGGCCAAGGGAATGGCAGCCTTTGTGTCCCTGGGAGGATGCTCATGGACCCTCAGCAGTAGCAGACTTGTGCTAACGGGCAAGTGGAGAGGAGCCAGACGCGAGGTCCTGGGCTGGTCCATGGGGTGCATGCATGGGGAGGAGCAGTGCCTCTGTCCAGGTCCAGCCCTTGGGGTGTCTGACAGTGTCTTTGTTCTCCAGGGACATTCGGAGTCTGGGCATCACCATGATGGGCCACCAGAAGAAGATCTTGAGCAGCATCCAGGCCATGAGATCCCAGCTGCTGAACACAAACGGCCCCAGGAGGCATCTCTGATCACCAGATTTGCAGACCTGCAATGGGCATTCCTTAACACTTACCCTGGCAAAGGGGCAGCAGGGTGGTGAGCAGGAAAAGGGGCACCAGATCAGGACCTGGAACCCCACCAGCATCTCTTCGATTTCAGCATCAGTGGAAATGTGCTTTCCAGATACCTCGATGGTCCTGCTGCCTCCTTCCCCCATCTGAAGGGGGGAGCAGACTTCCAAGCAGGCAAGGGACATGCCATGCCTCTCCCCATCTTCTACTGTGTCTCTCTGGCACTGGGGGTTCCCACACAACTATGCAGGACAGGGGGTAACCCTTTCAACACAGCAGAACGGCCCCAGCAGATGGAGGGGTATCAGACACAACAGCAATACCAGGAGCAGTGGGACTATGCTTGTCATGGCACCCAGCTCCTTTGGACCTGACAAGTGGGGAGTTTCTTGGCTCTCTGAATTGAGGGGGGCTCCACGGGCTGCCACCCATCAGAGACAACCCTGCTCCCACTACCTCCCAGTTCCAGCGCACTCCAGCCTGGACCTCCTGAACTGCACCAGCCTGCAGGTGCCTTCATGGTCCACTTCTACCGAGCCCAGGAGGATGGGGAACCTGGTGGCAGCACCAGGAAAAGCAGAGGAAACTTCCCCAGCGTGGGCCAGGGTCTGCTATCTGGACCTTCAAGAAGCTCCAGGATGCTGCGGGAGGCTCTCCACCTCCTGCCTGCCATGTCAGCTGCAAAGGAGGGTTCTGAGCAATGCTTCCAGATGCAACCCCACGTGGCTGAGGACAGCAGGTCTGGGAAAAGAGGGTCTTCAGCACGACCCAGCTGGTGAGCCTGGTGGCTGGGAGCTTGGACTTCCCTCCCCAGCTCTCCTCTCTTCCACAGGAGCATCTCTTCTGGCGGAGCAGTGGCCTCCAAAGAGCTGGTCTAAGAGGCTGAGCCGGCTGCAGATGCAGATGGGGGGCAGGCTGTGGTCTGAGAAGGTTTCTCTTGGGTGTAAATACAATTTTCTAAGGGTTTGGGAACTGTTTTACTGAAACACGATGTTAAGTACACAAGAATGGTCTCAAAGCACAGAAGCCTCGGACCCGGGGCTGAACTCACTGCAAAAAATACCTACTGGGAGCATGGCTGGGGAGGGGGGGAGTGCTGGAGGGGACTGACAGTGACTGCCAGGGGCCAGCCTGGCCCACAGCATCGTGTCCTTAGCTCTGGCACAGTGAATCCAGCACCACTCGAATGCAGGTACTGGTAGGACGTGGCCTGAGGTCTGCTCCTCCCAGTGCTGTTTGGGCACAACGGGGTTTGGGGGGGAGGGTTAAAGCCATTTCTCAGCTGCAATAATCCTGGCTAAACTGGCCTTTCTGGGGCTCATTTAGCTTTCCATCCAGGGTGGTTACATCCTGATGGATTCTCTGACTGTGGCGGGCACTTTACTTCTTCCTATGGAAGCTTTTTGTAATGGGGGACAGATGCAATGTGTTGTTTAATTTGTATTGCACCCTGTGTCCTGCACTCAGACCTTCACACCCACCCTGCAGTCAGCATCATGACGGAGGGTAGTCCGTGTCCTGCGGCACAAGATGCTAGGTACTGGCCATGTCCTCTCTTCCCAACATCTGGGACTCCCCGGAGGGTGAGTCCACCATGGGTGAACAGGGGAGAGCAGAGGGGAGGCCAGTGCCACAGGCCTGTAAATTTGGGGTTTGCTGGGCAACCCCAGTGACGTGGCTGCAGGATCTGAGGTTGGGAGCTGCCGGATGCCCCTTTCCAAGGTAGTCCATGAGTCAGATCCTGCAGCCTGGGGTCGTTGGGCTGCTCTGGGCTGCAGGGATGGTGGGGCAGGGTTTGCCTTTTGTGTTCAGAGTGTGCACCTCCTCCTGAACAATAAAATTCCTTCTTCCCATGGGCCATCCCCTTGCCTGTTATTGTCGCTGTGCTGCACAGAGCTGCTCCATCACTTGCAGGGACCTCTGAAGGTCACCTCATCCCACTGGTCCATGTGCATGTTCAGTGCTCAAAGCTGTGCAAGTCCTGCTCAGACCCTCACCCCTCACACAGACAGGGACAGCCACCGTGTCACACCTTGCTCACAGCACACTGCTGGCACTGGGCACAACGGGGCACCCTGGGAATGCTGGGACAGGTCAGTGCTCACCAAGGACCCACATTTCAGTTGTGAATAAAGCCAGTATCAACATTGTGCAAGGTGTACAAAGTTTTCTTACATTTCTCAGTCCCAGAGCAAATACTTGATCCATGGATGATGCTGGCGCCTGATTCCTCCCCTCAGGTGTGGGAAGGGATAGGTACACTCAGCTATTACAGCATCACTTTGGTGGTGAGGACCACGCCAGCATCACTTTGATGGTGATGACCATGCCCAGGGAATCACCCCACTCACAACCCTCAGGAATGCAAGGCACTGTTGTGTCATTTTTAACACGTCATTTCTTCCCCTTCTGGAAGCAACTGCCATGGAATTGCATTCCTGGCAAGGCCCAGTCACTGGGGGCTCCTCTCCAGGACACAGAGCTACATGTTCCCAAAGCACTGCCAGCAGTGGGTATCCGGTCCAGCCAGGCTGGGGACGAGGCTGGCACAAGGGGATCTGATGGCTGAAAGGGGAACCAGCTCAGCAGCAAACCCCTTGTGGAGAGGATTTCAGGGACCTCTCCAAGGAAGGAGCTGGTCAAGAGGCAAACTCTTCCATTCAAGGGGAGGCGATGGGAGCTCTGGCTTACGTATGACAGCAAATAAACCCCTTCATGCATCAAAAGAGCCCTCAGGATTTTCACATCTTCTTGAATGTCCCCCAAGAGACTTTAATTGCACTTCCCTGAGTAAAGCAGCTTTTCTTCCCTAATCACACCCAGCATCACCCCGAGCTATCAATAAGTCATCTCCGAAGCATCCCGTTTACAGCTGCCCAGGCCAGATTTGTCTGTGCCGTTAGCAAGCTTGGCTCCGTGAGCTGTGTGCGCCTGGAGGTGGCAGTCTGGACTTGCAGAGCACCCGCAGAGCCCTGCGTGGAGCCACCCGTCTTAGCTCTGCACCCGTGCTCCGCCCGTGCCGAAGAGATGCAGGTTTGCAAGGGCTCAGATGCACTCTGTGGATGGTGCTAACAGATGGTGAACCCTGCTTCCTATTTACTGATGTGACTCCTGTCTGATCACATACCAGCTTAGTCTGCCAAGAAGGCTGTATTCGCAAGGCACCTTCCCTCTCTGCTTTTAGCACAGTCACTTAGCGTTGTGTCCAAGGAAATTACTCAGGATAACCTGATGTAAGATAGAAACCTGTTGACCTAGACTCCCAGCCACAGATTTTCATTCTGATGATGCTGAAAAAAGGTGAAGCTGTTCCCAGGCACTCGCTGATGTTTTCTGTACCCCCGACTCTTTCGTTCATGTAGATTGATTATCACTCATCCTTTTAAGACTGCTTATCTTCCCCCTCACAAAGTTGTCCTGAAAAGTGGCTCCTGTAGGAAGCGGTGGGGTGGCGTTCAGCAGATGCAGCGTCCTTTCCAAACACAGAGAAGGGTGCAAATAACCTGGGTGCACCAAGAAGGAGAGGTGAGTGTACGTGACGCAGACTACGGTGAGCAGTGGTCTTCGTGCCTGGAGCTGAGGGAGTGTGGGGTGACAGAGGCAGTTTGGGTGGATGTGTTTTGGTGGATCGATGGGGCAAGACCTTGGTGCTGCAGGGCATGCTCCAAAGGCACCGGGTGAGCTTAGAGCTCTCAGTGCAGAGATGCAGGAGACGGGGATACAGGAGGTGATGGAGCAGCAGGAGCCTCCCTGCACGGTGCGACTGACCCCATCCTGCATGGACACAAGGCAGGGAGGGATGAAACCCCATTTGGTGCTGGGCTGCTCTGAACCTGTTGTCAGAAGACGAGGCTCCTCATTACAGTTGTTGATTGCTTTCACATTCCGAGCTGCCAGCGAAGGGTCAGCAGTTCTTATGAAATTTTCAATTCTCACAGGTTTTGAGTTTACGTGGATTTTCTTCCTGCGTCTGAGCTGGAAGGAGACGATGAATAAAAGATTAAAATTGGAATTCTCCAATCATTTAGGAGCAATGCAACGAGCCTTTAGTCCAGGAGCAAGCACGAGCCAAGCACCGCTGCATGCATACCAAAAATGAGCAGCAAACTTCAAACAGGGCTGAAACAAAAGGCTGTGCTCTTTGATGTGACTGCTGGAGTGCGGGGAGGAGCTGGAGATCCCTGGGCTCTGCAGGGTCTCGGGAGTGGAGCAACAGCCTCCTTGACTCCAGATGCTCCACATGGAGTCCTGAAGGCTCCATCGATGCTTTTCCGTTGCTGAGCCCTGCTGAGAGGCTCTAGCATTGTACAAAAGCATCCTGTGCAAGTGATGTGGCCCTTCAAGAGAGAATGGAGGGATGGGTGGTAGGAAAAGGAGGGTCACTAGGACAGAGTCGGGTGAACCAGGATGTGGCTGAGAGGCTTGGAAAGGGGAGGAGGAACTGGGATGAGCTGAAAAGCACTGGGGAGTCAAGGCAAGTCTGAGTGGGGCAGGAGCTGAAATAAGAGGCCAGGGCAAGCCTGGTGTGAACAAGGGGTTTTCATAACTAGAGGCAATGATTATTGAGTATAAGCTTTGCAAAGGAAAAAAAGCTCTAACAAAATCTTTGGCTCATCTGCTCAGAGAGATGAAAACAGGATGGGACTTGCTGGTATATGACCACTTCTTGGCCATATAGCATGCAAAAACAAAGCCCCATCCCTTACCCCTATAGGTATTTGACCTTGCTTCCTGTGTCCTCACTTTTCCAGGCACTTTGATTTGAGTTCACTTCTCCTGCCCCTCTGCTCTGCTCTCATAAGAGCCCTCTTGCAGCACTGTGTGCAGTTCTGGTGTGCTCAGCATAAAAAGGACATGGAGCTGTTGGAGCAAGCCCAGAGGAGGCCACGAGGATGCTCAGGGGCTGGAGCACCTCCTGTATGGAGCCAGGCTGAGAAAGTTGGGGCTGTTCAGCCTGGAGAAGAGAAGCTGCATGGAGACCTCAGAGCAGCTTCCAGTGTCTGAAGGGGGCTACAGGGATGCTGGGGAGGGACCCTTCAACAGGGACTGTAGTGACAGGACAAGGGGTAACGGGTTCAAACTGAAACAGGGGAAGTTCAGGTTGGAGATAAGGCAGAAGCTCTTCCCTGTGAGGGTGGTGTGGCACTGGAATGGGTTGCCCAAAGAAGCTGTGA